ATTGTGGGAAAATTCTACTAGCAGTCTTTCATCACCTTAAGACAACTATGGTGGATACATCACGAAATCTCATTTAGTTCTGAGTTATCAACAAAGTCATGACACATTGTCCAGATATTTCCTAACTGGATATGAATTTCTTCTCTACGAGGCAACTTGACTAAGTTTTCGTAAGATTTGTCGCAGAAGTGGTCGGAAATATTCATGCAAATCAGTCTTACGAATGCTTTGAAGTTTGGCTATCTTCCGGATATTTTATTCTCTGTAGGCCTCTTCAAATGAGCTACATCTGGCATGGCAGTAGCTCAACAGTGTACACATACAATTCTACACCAAGCTTTTTGGCTATGAAATGGTATGTTCGTAAAAAGTGAAAATTGTATGCATGCAAGTGTGCATCTATTAATCTTTGCTTGACTTCGCCTCAACTCATATTCTGAACATTTCGTACTCGAATGCACTGCCAAACTGGCATTACAAGATACGCATTTAAGTCACTTAGCACAGATCTGCTCGAAGACAACTGGTCAAACTTAGAGATGCGCAAGCGTGTATATATTGGTGCAATAACTCTTTCTCTGATAGGCGTATTTTAGCTAGCACGAAAACCCGGAGATACCCACATGTTCTCTACTACTACTATGATAGGTTAGTAGCAACAAAGCATATTCTGACTCCCCCCTCAATGCCACCACCATTGCTCGGACATCCAGCTAGCCCAGCATAAGAATGAGTACATACGTTTGATAAATGCGCCTAAGCATGTGGGTGCACACATTTGCATCATTTAGTGGATATGTGTGTCCGAGTATCACCGTTCCTATCGCCGATAAGCCAAACGCAAGACTGTGAGAATCGGAGAGTCACTTCTTTCTTGTTGTCACCATCTGCGAAATCTTTTAGACCCACCTTCACATCATATGCTCATCTGGTTCACCAATTCGACCTCCAATCCAACTGTCACTGCCTTACGTCCAAAAATGTGAAATCATATTCCGACGGTGTGTCTGATCCTCTCCACCTATTTATAATATCCCATAGGAAATCTATTGTGTAATCCAGTATTCTACTCCAGTTTCAAGTGCTCCCAGTAAGGGCCCCACTAAATGGTGGGGGCTGCTCAGCCGTAACTATCTTATCTCGGCGACTTGGAGTTTTCTCGTACACATCGACGGGTTAATCGAAAATGTCCAGACCTGCGAATGGCTCCTCGAAGCATGCACGAGTTGTCGCCCGACCCATGACTCCGACGCTGACGGGTTCAGGTGCAACTCGAGCCTTCGGCGGTCCGGTCGCCATCCCCGAGGCGCTGCAGTCCTGTTGCCGACTAGCTCTGCGCTGCCTAGCACCGCCTGACATGCCCGTGGTTACAACTGAGGCAGAGCCGTTTGCAGACCCGGCCGTCTGGCGCCAGTTGCCCGCCTACCAGCGGCGTTATCACAACTGGCTCCTGACGCATTACGGCGAGCCAAAAGTCCTGACTCTCGACGCCACTGCACCTACGGGCAAGCTGGAGAGTGCATGTAAGCCAGTCGGACTAAGCATGCTCATGCGATCGCAACCAGTTGCGGCTCACTCTCAGCCCGACTCTCATACCCACCTCTACTCCCATCCACACTCCCAACCAAGCCTGACTAAGCAAAACTCCTCCCCACTGACGTCTCCTAGGCCTCATTTGCACCACACCATTCCACCGAGGCACTCATTCACACAACACACAGTCGAACTTTAGTTTGTATGTCGTCGGCACTATCGGCCGATGAGGGTTTCGAACCCTGGCCTTGGCTTCGTGAGGATCATCTGCCACCCGGTCCTCCCGACTGTCTATGCCCAACTGGACTAAACCTCTGCCCGCACAACCGCCCACTTGTTGGTCAGACGACAACATCTGACTGGCCGGATAAATGAACTTCCAGCACAACCACCAACACTGCCACGCGTCATGTAAAACCACACGTAAAGAAGGCAAATATGCACGGATTTGGGCATGCTTAATCGCGGAATTAAGTCTTCTAGTACGAATGGACATAATATGCAGAGATGCATGAAAACGCAAATAATATATCTACTTTCACACACTCACCTACGCGCATACGTTCATGCATCCTCACTTTTCAACGACGTTTGCTGCATACCTGTCAGCAGAGCCCCATTTAGTATAGTATCAGCTTACTATCCACCAACATACAGAAATCCTGTCCATATGGCCAACTATTTTTTAATTCTAGTTTGCTGAAATAGGCGACCTTGTCTCCTACACATGCTTATCGGTTTTTCTATTTACTTAACTCCCTCATGCCACACGTTCGGAGATGGTTTTGTGCGTGCTACCCACGTACAAACCTTGGGCCATTTGGTGTTAAGGGTGATCGGAGATTTTCTTTTCCCTAAAGAACGACATGCTCATGAGAGCATGTTCTTGACGCATATTTGAGCTGAAAGATAAAAAAATGCCTTTCTCCTTGTGTCGGCTTGAGTTAGACTGCATTTTTATCAAAAATATATATTCTCCATTCACTCACTGTCCCACAACCAAACTTAGGTACTTGACTAAGTCAATCAATTTACTATTCCAGTCCATCTATCATGAAAAATCAATGTCAATATATGCCAATAGTAGGGAATAGATAACATGTCACAAAAAATCTTTTAAAGGTCTTGAGTGCATGTGATGGACAAATTATGCTCTAGTGATGCTTTATACTGATTAAGCAGGTTTCGAAAACTTCGGTAGATCTTGAGCAAGAGATTAGCTTACGTTAAAATCAGCTGAGGTCGAAGCTGCAGTCGATTATGGTTGAGACTGCTTTTTTGGTGGACAGAGCTAAGTGAAATTCACTAGCATCATGTGACCTTTACTCATTTCACCGTGGACTTTAACTTTCAGTTCCTACATACTTTTGAATGACCTAAGGCGATTCGAGTTAGTATTTGAATGATTCTATGTTAAACCACCAGTAA